GATCCTCCTGCCTCAGCCTCCTGAGTGCTGGGATTAAAGGCGTGCACCACCATGCCTGGCCAGCATTTATTTCTAAGGTCAAATGAAAAGTTAGTTAGCAAAAGGTGTTTCCTGCCTCTTGATTATTTTCTCCATGCTGGTATGAATCAAGCGTTCAGTTCCAAAAATGTGTGAAACCACGCCAGCTCCAGCCAATGAACTTCACATGTATCTGAGGATGAGCCACACCCCATCCAACACTTCAAGCAGAAACAACCTTTAGTAAATTATGTGCCACACCCTTCCTCCTCATCCAGGCCCGCAGAATTGCAATCTCATCACTGCCTTGATTCTGGTGGTGGTGGGGAAGGTTTTACATATAAGAATCACCTCAATTATAGGCCCAGTGGTCCGTGTCTGTAATCCCACCACTGGGAGGCTGAGGCAGGAGGATCACAAGTTAGCCCAGCCTTTAGTGACTGAGGCCCAGGATCAAAATAAATGAGAAAGGGCTAGGCATATAGCCCTGTGCAAAGGCCCTGGGTTCAATACCCAATAGTGGAAAATAATTTACCTCCAAATATACAAACACACCATGATCTAAACATGTTGAACATCTTCATTCTAGATTTCTTCCTGTGCATAAGCTGAGTAATTATATCTAATAATTTGGGAGCTGCTATTATAGAATCCCAGCTTTGTTTTGTTTTTTTCTCTGTACTGGGGACCAAACTCAGGGCCTTGCACTTGTCAGGCAGGCACGGTGGCACTGAGCTACATCCCCAGCAGCCATTTATTTGCTCAGTGTGGGGACTGAACTGAAGGAGCTCACGCTTACCCCAGTGTGTTCCATCACTGAGCCACAGCCAAAGCCCTCAAACCTGCCTGGCCTCTTCGTGCTGGGATTACAGGTGTGTGCCACCATGCCTGGCTATAATTACCCTGAAAGTTAAATATAGAACCTGATCAGAGTTGTTTTTTCTGTTGTCCCATAAAATTTTGAAGGTATTCAGTCTCATTCCTTTCCCCTGTAACATGGGCGGGGATTTGTGATTACCTCAACCCATGAAGTGTAGAAGTAAAGCTGCTTGATTTTCAACTCCAGGCCTTATAATGTAATAGGTTCTAGCTGGCCATGGTGGCGCAAGCCTGTAATTCCAGCACTCAGGAGGCTGAGGCAGGAGGATCGCTGCAAGTTCGAGGCCAACTTGAACTAAATAAGGAGATTGTCTCAAAAAAGGGGGAGGCCTTTAGAAGGTTTTAAGCAGAGGTCACTCACTGTGTTGGACTAACTAATGGTCCACTTGGAATGCCTAGCTAAACTGAAGTAGCGTGGCCTGGGTGTGGAGGATCCATCCGAGGATTGTTACCAATAGCCATAAAAAGAGATCTGGAGGCCCGGGGATTTAGCTCCGTGGTTCTGCTGCCTGCTTTGCAAGCGCAAGGTTCTTAGTTGGATCCCTGGTACCAAACAAAAAAAAAAAAGCTCTAAAAGAGAACTGGAGGGGAAGATCTTGGCCTGTTGAGTTTTCAGAAGTTTGCTGTGGTTGATTTTCCTGATGCAAAGTAGGCTGTTCTCATTGGAGGAGGAGCTCAGGACCGCAGGGTCGCTGGGAGTGGCTGTTGTTTTTGTCAGGGGAGATCTGACCTTCACGGTGAGCATCACATTCTGGCTCCAATGTGGCTCCCTCAGCCTGACGGCACAGATCCTTCACCCACCAGTGCAGGTTTTCTGGCTCCCACCACTGGCCTTTGGCCCTTCCAGGTGCACATCCTCAGTACGGACAGGGAGACCCTGCCGTGGGCTCTAGGACACTGGCTGGACGTGTGGAAGACATTGCCTTGGACTCTGCCTTCAGCTGGACTTGTGCCGGACACTGCTGGGACCAGGCCCTCAGCTGGATTCTTTGGGCCTCTAGTATGTGGCTAATCTCTTGCACTCTTTTGCATTTGACTTTCTGGGTAATCATCATAAAGTAATCCTATAAATTACTCTCCTGTAATTAGTGCATTCCCTTGCCAAGACTCTGACTACAACACTCAAGAGTAACAGATTTCCTGTCCCTGTGCTTACCCCACTCCATGCTGGGATCAAACCCAGGGCTGCATCCTAGGTAAGGCCTTTACTGTCTGAAAGGTACTTCTGAGATATTGCAAGAATCAAAGTCATTCTGCTAAGAGTGAACAGATATAAAAGGCCCACTGTTTAAACCATCAGGTCAGGTGTGGTGGCTTGAACTTTATAGGGAAAACTTGTCTTAAAAAAACATAAAGAAATAAAATAACCATTAAAAAAGTCTGGGCTGCATTTTGCCTAGGAAACAGTACTCCAGACCTTCCTGAGATATGCACGCACTTCTCAGGACACTGCGGGTAAGTGTGCTTCTGCCTCAAGGCAGGGAGCCTGAAGAGAGCTTAAAGGAAATCTTCCCTTGGTTACAACTGGTGAGGGCCTGAGTCCACAGCTGGGTTCCCACCCTTTCTCTGCTCTGCCTCTCCTTGGGACTTTAGCTGTGTGTATCTAGTGATAAGGAACAGCGCAGTGTGGGGCTGAAAGGCTGGGCGTGGTGACCCACGCCTGTGACCCCAGCACTCAGGAGGTTGGGGCAGGAGGGTTAACGGGCGTTCCTGCCGGCCTGAACTACACTGTGAGACCCTGTCTCAAACAAAACAAAACAAAAACAAGTAATAGTGTGGGGCTGTAGGTCAGCAAACCACAAAAGTAACATTTACATTTACCTTGGGTTTTTCGTAAAATATTTATTGGTCCATTTTAGATACACGTAATGCTCATGATAGGGAATTTGCACCTGAACATGACCGTCTTGCTGCTTTTTTCCCATTCCCCTCCCTTCAACCCCTCTTCTCATTTACAAAAAGCTGTTTCCCTTTTTTCTTTTTCTTGTCCCTTCCTTCCTTTCGCATTTACCTTGTTCTGAGTGTTGCCTCAGGCCAGGGTCTTGGAAGTCTTAGACTTCTGGTAGAGACCCTTTCTTTTTTTTGTTGTTTTTTGTTTTGTTTTTGGAGACAGGGTCTCACTATGTAGTTGAGACTAACCTGGAACTCATTATGTAGCCCAGGCTGGTCTCAAACTCACAGCGATCCTCCTGCCTCAGCCTCCTGAGCGCTGGGATCATAGGTGTGTGCCACCACGTCTGGCATAGACCCTCTACTTCCTCTGGGTTCTTGCCCTCATTCAGCAAAGAACAAATGAGCACAGCCAGGCTGATTTAAAAGATCCCCTGAGTAGAGAGGAAGCCCTCTGCCCCAGAAGGAAGACGTCAGATCAAAGTAGAGCAAAGCACAGGTTTACTTGTATGGTGAAGGCAGGGACAGAGCTGTCAAGCAACAAGCTGCCTGGCAGGGGGAGCTGGAAATGAGCTTCTCAGGATGGTGTCTTTGCTCTGCCCATTCTTGGGAGGGGGTCTTACGTCTGGGGGTTTAGCTCAGCGGCTCCACCGCCTGCCTTGCAAGCACAAGGACTGAGTTCGATCTCCGGTACCAAAAGAAACCCAACAAAATAAACTTCATCCATCAATCAGGGTCTTAGCCTTGCTTGCTGGGGTGAGCTCTGGTTCATGGAGTTTTAGGGTTTCCAGTGTAAGAGTCCCTAAAAGTAACCGCACCTGCAGAGGTTTCACAAAGGGCAATTTCTTCTAGTCAGCAGGAGGTCAGGTCTCTAAGGACTGCCACGTCAGCCACATTACGCCCTACGGCCCTAGCTAGCTCCCTGCTAACAGACCCTACATGAAAAGGCCTTGGGTTCTGTTCTCAGCACCAAATAAATAATGTTCCTGAAGTGCTTGACTGCCAAAAGGAAAAAGACGGATGAAAATGTGATGTACATTGCTGCTTTTTACTACAAAATTTAATCATGAAATATTGAGTTTTTATGTTTTGGTACCGGGGATCGAACTCAGGACCTTGTGCTTGTGAGGCAGGTGGAGGTACCACTGAGCTAAATCCCTGGTCCTTTAATTAGATATTTATGACATTTTTGCAAAAGAAAAAAAGGACCTGGATTGTCATCAGAAAGAAAAATGGTAATACAGATCTTGTTTTAGGGTAGCAGAAGAGGGTTAAACTTTTGGTGTTTCTGTGTGTTTTTCTTTTTTGGTACTGGGGATCCAGTTAGGGACCTTGCACTTGCTATTGCAGTTGAGACAGGGTCTCACGATGCAGTTCAGGCTGGCTGCCAACTTGACCGTGATCCTCCTGCCTCAGCCTCCGGAGTGCTGGGATTACAGGTGTGCGCCACCACGCCCGGCTCTGAAATGTAGTGAGTGGAGAGTGAAATGCTGAGACATAATAAAGCTGGGTGCTGCTTCTATTGCCCAATTTCTCTGCATGTTTGCTGTTAACAGTATGAAGCGATGGAGAAGGCCAGCGTGGGCTCCCTCCAGCCCCCAGCAGGTACCTGAGTGTAAGCCTCACACACCCAGCATCCCGCGTGCTTTCCAGTCTCCACCAGGACATCTGAGAATTAAGTCAGGGACTAGGCTGAAATCCTGGCTGGCACCCCTGGGCCAGCCATTTAACCTCTGCTGCCCCTGGACTGCTGGAGTCAACAGGGTCCGCACTCGGGACCTCATCAGGGATGCACTGGGTTACTGCAGACGACTCTGTAACCCGAAGGGTTTGAGCTGGCAGCTTTCACATCTCTAGGCCCCGCTAGGGACTGCTTTCCCGTCTGAGCACACGATCGACAGTAATCTCCCAATGGCAAACTTCCTGGCGTCGGGAAGCACCTGCCTCACATGTGCAAGGCCTTGGGTCTGATCTCTAGCACTGCGAAACAAACCTCCTGAATTAGGCAAGGGTACTCTAGGGAGGCAAAAGGCCATCCTTTCCTTAGCAGACGCACATTTAAGTGTGTGCGTGTGAATGGTGTGTAGAAAAAGAAAGCAAGGAGAGGAGACGTTACCCAAATAAGTGCAGATGAAAGGATGCACTTAAACCCATGATCCTCAACTTGCCTGCAGGGGACTGAAAAAAAAGGTTGAGAGAAAAAGGAAGTGGCAGTCTGTGGTTTTATTGCAAAATACTATTATAAACCCGGACACTTGACCCCGGGGCTCCAAGGCACTGCTCCCTGCTCTCGCCCGATCCCCTCCTGTGCAGGAGTCGCGGCTCTGGAAGGACAGCTGAAGCCCAGATGCTCCAGGGAGGGAGACACCAGTCCGGCTGCCGGCGGCAGCTCGCACTTCACCTTTTCTTCACGAACTTCTTCCTGGAAGCATTGGGATTTAAGCGTCTCCTCCCGGCTCCCAGGGTGCTGTCGCGGACCTGCAGGGTGGCCGAGCGGCTGCAGATGTCGTTCTCTGCAAAGGGAGACACCCCGGCTATGTAGTCGGAGGCGAACACATCGGTCTTCTGCCGGGCCTTGCGGGACAGTCGCAGCTGCGGGAAGCGCTGGTCCTCCGTCAGGTGGGGGTTGGAGGCGTATTTGCCCCCTTTCGGCATGGGCAGCGGGTACTGTGGGGAGACGGGCAGCGGTCAGAGGGGCTCGGCACACACTCCCCCAGTGCCAGCAGCACCAGGCCCCTGAGGGACTGCAGCCCCAATCGACCAATGGAAAGGAAAGCACAGGGCTGACCACACCCCCTCGAACACGAGTGACAACGCTGTGTGCGGTGGCACTGAGTTCTGTGGGAAGTGGGGCTGGGGCGGGAAGGAGAGGGCTACGCGCAACCTGGGGCGGGCTGGAACGGACGTGGTGAGGGAGGATCGGAATATCATCTCAAACAGTACTGGTAGAAACGGAAGGAACATGGGGCGTGGTGACCTACGCCTGTAAGCCCAGCACTGGAGAGGCTGAGGCAGGAGGATCACTGTGAGTTTGAGGCCAACGTGGGCATACAACCCTATCTCAACCAAACCAAACCATACCAAAACGAAAGGTCTCACTATGTAGCCCAGGCCAGCTTGAATTTGTAGCAATTCTGCTGCCTCAGCCTCCAAGTGCTGGGATCACAGGCGTGTACCACATGGTCAGGAAAAATAAAGAGAAAGAAAGAAAAACAAAAGAGAATTAACCGGCATATTAAAAAGGACAAAGAAAGGCTGGGGACTTAGCTCAGCGGCACCGTGCCTGCCTCACAAGTGCAAGGTCCTGAGTTTGATCCCCAGCACCACAAAAAAAAAAAAAAAAAAAAAAAAAAAGAAGGCAGATCAAAGGGGCTTACACTGGCCACACATGGCACAACTTGAATCTCAAAATGATGGCTTTAATGGCTTTCATCCCATAGGTTAAAATGAGAGTTCATCAGACCATACTTACATAGAAGGAATAAAAGGAAAGTTTCTCAGGCTGGGGATCTGGCTTGGTGCCACCGGCTGCCTCGAAAGCACAAGGACCCGAGTTTGATTCCCCATACCACAAAAAGGGGAAAGCTTCTCTGTAGGTAGATGCCAAGTACTATAGTCAGAAGGCCTGATGGATTTAGAAAATCATTATTTGAAGGCTGGGTATGGTGGTACACACTGTAATCCCAGCACTCTGGGAGACTGAGGCAGGAAGACTAAGTTCGAGCCCGGGCTAGGCAACTTAGTGACTTAGCAGAACCCTATCTCAAAAAGGGCTGGGATGTAGTTCAGTGATAAGCCTGGGTTCAATCCCAGTACTGCTCCAAAGGAAAATCACCAGTTGGCAACATCAACCAGAACATCTTTCCATAAATAACTACAAATAACTTTCCAGTTGATTAATCTGTCAAAAGTCAGCTTTATCCAAGTGATCACAGTTAATAGCACCACTCAGGAGGCTGAGGCAAGAGGACTGCTGCGATTCTGAGGCCAAAATGATCTACACACTGAGAACTTGACTCAAAAAACTAAAAACAAACAAAAAACTCAGTTAATGTCACCAGTAAATTGGGCAACATCATCACAGCCACTGAGAAGGGTACAATGTGATTTCTTGGGCTTTTTTTTTTTTAGACAGGGTCTCACTGTGTAGTTGAGACTGACCTGGAACTACGTAGCTGAGGCTGGTCTCAAACTCACTGCAATCCTCCTGCCTCAGCCTCCCAAATGCTGGGATTACAGGCATGAGACACCACGCCCAACTTTCTTGGGCTCTTTCTGCCAAAAAACGCACAGCCTAACTCTGCCTGAGGACTACCCCAGCCCAGCTGAGGGACAGCGCATGAATTAGCTGGCTGAGCACGTCAGGGTTGCAAAAACAAGACTAAAAATATGACCATAGCTTACAGGCTGCAGCGACCAATGCGACCCAGAACCCTCTCTCCAACGGGCAATAAAAGAGCAGGAACCAGCGGCAAGTCTTAAATGTCGGCTGGCGGATCACACGGCAACACTGAGGCGGTGCCGATGTCTGGATTCTGATGATTATAATGTGGTCATGTAAAGTAAGTGCGGAAGGGCAAAGGGCCATTGTGTGAACACTTCACTTTCAAATGCTTCAGAAAAAATAGACGGATTTAGAGAGGGTCATAAGCAAGCACGGCAAAAGATGAACCCAGAAAATCCGGCTGGAGGGGAAATGGGAATTCTTTGTCCAACTTTTGCAGCTTTTCTATAAATCTTAGATCATTTCAGAAGAGGAAGTTAAAATTCTCCTGCACTAGTGGTGCATCTGCTACTTGGGAGACACCAGTGCCATGGCCATCACCATCACTTTTACCAGGCACAGTGGCACATGCCTATTGTACCCTGGGAGGCTGAGGCAGGAGGATCACAAATTCAAGCCCAGTCTGAAAGGTTTTTTTTTTTTTAATTTTACTTTTGTTGTGATTTGTGTGTGTGTGTGTGGTACTGGGATCAAACTCAGGACCTTGTGCTTTCCAGGCAGGTGGCAGCACCACTGAGCCCTGGCCCCTAAAAATTCAATTTTTTAATTTAAAAATGTTTTTATTTTTGAGAGAGGGTCTTCCTATGTGATTCGGCTGGCTTCAAACTGATGGTGACCCTCCTGCCTCAGGAAGGGTTACAGGCATGTACCACCACACCCTGCAGAAAAAAAACAACTTTTTTTTCCTTAGTACAGGGGAATGAACTCAGGTCCTTTTGCTTGCAAGGCAGGCAGTGGCACCACTGAGCTAAATCCCTGGCCCCCAAAAAACTTTTTAAAAGGGCTGGGCATGTAGCTCAGTGCAAAGGCACTGGGTTCAATCTCTAGGACCATTAGGAAAGAAAAATCGCTTTCACACCCATCTTCCGGGTCTACTTCTCTCCCAAGTCCTCGAAATCCCCAGCTGGATGCGGGCTCCCAGGCAGCTCCTGCCCCTCCCTCCGACTCCTGCACAGACGCAGCCCACCCCGGGCTCCCAGGCCTCCCACACAGCCCCAGGCAGCGCTTCTGCTGCCCAGGCCCTGTGTTCTGGCAGTGGTGGGGACACGGGGACACTACGCACCCGGAGGCCTCGGGGGTTCAGCACCTTGGGGTTGCGGGAGAAGAGCATGTGCAGGGTGCCGTCCTCGCTCACGGTCACGGCCACTTTCTTCAGTGTCTTGTTCCCACAGTGCGCGCAGAACACTCGGCTCATGTCAGACGTGGTCCTGGGGGACAGGGAGAGGCTGCGTGCTGGCGCCGGGGCTGGGCACAAGGAGGGCCACGGCCTCCAAGCTGCGCTGTACCCACCTTTGGGTTTTTTTTAAATATATTTTTTTGATAGTGCTAAGGACTGAACCCAGAGCAGGCTGAGCTACATCCCAGTCCTTTTTACTTCTTGAGACAGGGTCTAAGCCGCCCAGGCTGGCCGCAGTTTGTGACTGTCCTGCCTCAGCCTTCCTACCAGCTACACACCCAAATTACACAAAGGTCGCCTGGCCTCAGGCCAAGTGAAGATGTAAGTCAAGTGCTGCTCCCTTTCTCACGGGGAAGAAGAAAAGGAAAGATGGAGAAAATTAAATCACTGTGAAAAATGAGAAGGAATTTGTGACCCTCAACAACTTTCCTGAATACCATTAGCCGGCGGCCTACAGGTTTAGCGAGACGCCCTGGCCGGGACCATCTCCCTTTCACACCCTGCTCCAGGCCAGCGGTAGGGTGCAGACAGAGGGAAAGCTCTGGACGGCGCTCTCTCAGGCACAGGAAACACTGAAACCTGCCGTGGCTGCGGAGCAGTAAAAAGCTGCTCCTGCCCAGGGCCACTCGGTCCCTGTCCTTCAGGAAGGGGATCTGTCACCAGCTCCCGAGGCCTTGCTCTGTCACCTCGAGAATGACCCCCGGCCTGAGGAGCCGCCTTGGGGTCCTGCAGGAGGGACAGCGGCGGATGGGCTTCTAGGAAGTAAGGTGCCCCACAGTGGGGCGCGGAGGCACTGAGCAGCGAACTGCAGCAGGGGCAGCAAGGCTGGGCCCAGGAGGCCCTTGCCACAGGACGGGAGAGTTTCAAGCCTTTGGGAGAAGGCGGCCCCACCCGGCCCACACTCCGGGCTGGGGAGATACTGATCCTGCCTCTGGCCTAGCTTGTTCTTCACAACACCTGCCATTCTATTTCAGACTCTGGAAGCTGGGCGCATGCTGTATGCTTGGAATTCCGGTACTCAGGGGGCTAAGGCAGGAGCATCCTGAGTTTGAGGCCAGCACAGAATAGACAGGGAGACACTGTCTCAGAAAAACAAAATTTAAAATAAAAAGAAATGAATCTGAATCACGGAGAAGGTCATCATCTTAGCAAAATCGCCCAGGTAGCAGAAGGAATTCAGAGGTGAACGTGTGCCAGAGTATGGTAGTGCATGTCTGCAACTCCAGGACTCTGGGAGGCTGAGGCAGGAGGACCAAAGTTCAAGCCTTGCTCAGGCAACTTAGCAAGATTCTATATGAAAATAAAAAAGGGCTGGGCTGAATCCCTAGTACCACGAAAACAAACATAAAATCAAAAACCAACAACTCAGGATGATCACCTGGTGTCACCAACAATGTCACTCCCAACTCTTTCCTCTCCGCCCCTACCACCTACCCACTCTGTTACTCCCAAGCAAACCTGGACACCACTCCACCCACGACGCTTCAGTGCCCTGTCCCAGAACCCGAGTCCACAACCCCACAGCCCTGAGCTAAGGTGGGCGGCCCTGGCAACCTCCGACCCGGGGCTTCAGGGCGCCGGTGGACAGAGGAGGTCCACGGCGGGACTTCTCTTCTCTGCAGCCCTAGCGAGGCAGCCAGGGCCTGTGTTCTCAGCAAGGGGAGGGCCCGGGGCTCGCGGCGAGCTACGCACTTGAAGCAGCCGTGGCAGCGCAGGATGGAGCTCCGGGCCTCGCGGATCAGCATGCCGTCCACCGCCAGTACGTGCAGCCCCATCTGCAGCAGGACGTTCTGCAAGCAGCCAGGGACGCACACTGAGGTGGGAGCCGCGAGGGGCTCCGCACACCCTCACTTGGCTCCTATGCCTTAGCCTGGCTGGAGAGACTCCTCCTGGGAGGCCTCTGAAGGACACAAGGACCCGGGTCCCTGTAACACAAGGACTGAGGCCTGTGCTCAGCAGAGGTATTCGCGTCATTGGGGGAACAGTCTCTTTTCTGGGCTGGAACCCAGTCTGCTTTCCCATGTTCCTAAGTGAGCCCGGCATCACACACTGAGAAAAGCATCAACTGATCATAACATCAAAGATGAACACACTATACACATTCTGTCACCATATCGTATGACCGTCCAGCCTCACAACTGTTAACGCCTGCCTGCTATGCTTGTGTCTAGCTGTCCCCCAAAGCCTCATGTGTGCGAAGCTGGGATTAAGGGTGTGTGATTACTAAGTTAGCCCACTGACTACTGTGTCATGGTTCTGGGTAGGATTAAGGGCGTCCCAGCCTGGGGAGTGCTACCCACCCCAAGGGCAGGAGCCTGGACAGAACGTAAGGGACAGGGAGGGTCACGACACTCGCTGCTCTGGCCGCCTCCTGCCAGGCCATGGACGGTTTCTCCTCTTCGATGGCCCTCGGCCATGCTACCCTGCCTTGGAGCCAGCTAAGGACTGAAAGCTCTACACACTGTGAGCTGAATAAACCTTTCCGCTTTTAACCTGGGTGTTGGGTGCTTTGTCTCAGCAACGAGAAAAGCACTAAGATGGCTCCCCACCAACCTGCATGGCGAAGTCTGTAGTCACACAGCCAACCCGCACATCCTGTGGGACGTCGCCCTTCTCCAGCTCCCGCTGGATCTGCCCGATGTTGCTGGGGGTTATCCAGCCTCCCCCGTCGTCACCACTGCCTTCGCCTTCACTTTCTTCAGAACCATCACCTTCTGCCTCCTCGGCCCTTCTGTCAATCTGAAACAGAGTTCACCGTCCAGTCCACAGGAGCAGTGGAGGAGCTGCTGCACCGTCACCGAGGGGACTGTCAGCCAGGGCCTTACCAGCAGCTGCTGTAGCTCATGATCGATATTAGGCAGAGGGCTCCTCCAGAATAGGAAGGAACTGAATTCTGGGTGCTCGGGCTCGCGGGCCGGAACGCCACAATGTACTGTTTCCTGAGGGGCCTTATGCTGAGGTGAAAAGAAAGAGTTACTTATTTTTGAGACAGAGACTCGCTGTGTAGTCCAGGCCGTCCTTAACTCACTATGTAGACCAGGCTGGCCTCGAACTCAAGGCAATTCTCTGGTGCAGCCTCCAGAGAGCTGGGACTACAGACGTGTGCTTGGCTTTTTTTTTGTGGTCCTGGGGATTGAACTCGGGTCCTTGCACTTGCAAGGCAGGCAGACGAACCACAGAGCTAAATCCCTGACCCTTATTATTATTATTTTTTAAATAATAATTTAGAAACCTAAAAACCAGGGGAAGTGGGATGTGAGGGGAAAGGAAATAAGGGAAAAGAAAAAATATGAAAAAATGGAAACAGTCTTTGTAAATAGGGAGGAGTGAAGGGGGTGAAGGGAGGGCAGGGGTATGGGGAAAAAATAAGAACCAAGACCTGTCATGTAAAGGTACAAGATCCCCATGATGAATGGAACTGTATGGTTTGCTTTAAATGTACCAATAGACTTAATGGGGGAAAAATGCAAAATATGTATTGGAAAAAACCAAAAGCCTGAACACCAAAAGTCATGGGTGAAACGACAGGACATACACGTCAGGTCCGACGGGGCGGGACAACTCATACAGTGGCCCAGGGAGCATGCGGCGCTGTGAACAGAAACCCTGGGGGCTGAGGGTGGCAGAGTCTGAACCACAAGGTTCATTTAGGGGTTACCTTGGAGGGGAGGTGGAAGCCAGAAATGTGTAGAGGCGTTTCTGGGTGCTGAATCGAGGAGCTCACTCGAACCTTTAGGGGGAAAAAGTGCCAGGTGTGAACAAGGTCAGTTAGTTCTCAAAGAGGGAGGGAATTAGGAAAACAAAACCCTCAGTACTGCCCCCTGGTTACTGAAATCAAAGATATCTACTGTTTAAAAACTTAGAAAACATTTTTTAAAATGATATTTGGTGAAACCAATACTATTAAATATATATATATATTTTTTTGCTGTCACACATACAACTGTAAAACCTGAAAGTATTTTGGTTATCGCCTTAGCGTAAATGCCTCAGAGAAGAATTACTGAGTCAAAGGATACCTTGTGATTTTGGTGGGTTTTTTTCGTATGGGGGACTGAACTCAGGACCTTGTGCCTGTGAGGCAGGCAAGGTGCCACTGAGCTAAATCCTGGCCCTACAAGGATACCTTGTTTAAAAGCAGTTGTGAGCCTATAATTCCAGCAATCTGGGAGGCTGAGGCAGGAGAATTGCAAATTTGGGCCCAACCTGGGCAATTCAGTGATCCCTTGTTTCAAAGAATAAGAAAGGACTAGGGATGCAACTCAGTGTGAAGGTCTTGGGTTCAATCCCTAGCACCACATGCATGACACGAATGAATGAAATCTTGAATTGCTGGATGCCAAATGGAAAACCAGCTACACTGAATTCAGAAAGCCAGAGTCAGTTTACATACAGCTGTCGCTTTCACAGCCCCCAGTACCAAAGCACTGTGTGACATGCACACATGTGCTTTAGTTTTGTTCTTTTTGGATGGAGGACTTTAAACCTGACTGAAAACAAGGGCAGTTCTCAGTGTAAGGATGTGAGCCCACTGCGATTTTTTTTTTTGGTCCCCAGGATCAAACTCAGGACCTTGTACTTGTGAGGCAGGTGTGGTGCCACTGAGCTAAATCCTGGCCTGAGGTTATTTTTTTAAAGGACTGATCTTTCACTTTTTTAGTTTTTTGAGTTAGTCTTGCTATACAGGCTGCCCTCAAATGTGGCGATCTTTCTTGCCTCAGCCTCCCAAGTGCTTGGATAACAGGTGTGCACCAGCAAGCCCACCGTATTGATCTAAAGAGATAAACCTCTAACATGTGTGAGGCTCTGGGTTTGGTCCCCAGCAAGGCCAAATATATATATATATAGAGAGAGGGTGGTGGGAAGAGGGGGAGAACCAAAAAATATCTACTGGGAAATAACATATGTCCAAGTTAGCAATACACAGGGCTGTGGCTCACTACAAATGGAAATAGATGACAGCTGGGGGGGGGATGATGGGGACACTGCGTCTGCTATACCATTCCCTTTATTTTTTTTATATATTGGAGAGTTTAAAAGAAAAAAAAACTCTGGGCCGGGGACTTAGCCCAGTGGTTCCGCCGCCTGCCTCTGCAAGCAGAAGGACCTGAGTTCGATCCCCAGTACCAAAAAAATCACAAAAAACAAAAAAAAAAAAAACAAAAAAAACTCTAACATTCCTGGTTTACCTTTTCCGGCTCTTGTTTTAGGTGAGACACCCCAACAAACTCCGCTTCCAACTGGTAAGTGAGCGCCAGCACCTGGATATCTGTGGCAGAGAGGCTGGCATAGTCTCCAGTTTTTTTTGAAAACTCAGTCACTGTGAACAAGATACTTTCAACTTTAGTGAGGATCAGAAAAACAACAGAAACTTGGATAGCGGCAATAACAGCATCAGAAGAACCAAGAGAAAGACAATCAATACCCTAGAAAGTGTCAACATTTCCTTACTCCTTTGACCATTTCTACTCACTGTTGAGAATCTGCATTCTCCACCCCTCAGCTTCCTGGCTGTTAGGGACTGCTTAACATTCTTATCAAGTACAGATCAAAGAACAGAACAGCAGGGCCTGGTAGTGATTGTGTGCAATCCCAGCACTCCGGAGGCTGAGGCAGGAGGACTGAGGCAAGTTCAGGGCCAGCCTCAATTTCAGAGGAGACCCTGACTCAAAATCAAACCAAACAAACAAAACCAAGTGAACAGAAGAAAAAACCACTGAAAGTTAACATGTTTGTGTCGGATCAGAATTTTGTATGAAGCTGTGGTATTATGTTAGAACAGAAGCGCTCTCCTCTTCCAGCTCTCCCAGCTCTCAAATCCTTGGATTCTAAGTGTAACAGTTTACAATGACAATGGCAACATATTTGGGACCCCTCCTGTCTCTCCGGAGCTATTCCTATTCCCCAGTTTACACTGACAGCATGGATGGTCACATTTCAAAATAGAATGGAAAATTAATTCAAACACAACTGTAGTCTATGAGGAAACAAAAATATTCTATTGCTTTGTGATAAACCATGAAGTTTCTGAAACATAAAAAAAATGTAAATCTGTGCTTAATACACAGTGCCAGCCGTTACTACTGTGTTCACTGAGAATTGACAAATGAAATTTTCTACTAAGAGAAAGATTTCTTCTACAGTGGCACCAGGTACAGTAATATTGTTCTCATTTCTTAAAAAATACAAGCCTCTAAATTCTAAAACATTCTAAACCACTGACTAACAGTTGTTCCTGGAATCAGTGACCTGTTTCCTAAAGAGACAACACTGACTTTTCGGTCTAAGGAAAGGGCTAAAACCATCTTTTCCTGCGGCCGGGGATTTAGCCCAGTGGCGCGGTGCCTGCCTCGCAAGCGCAAGGTCTGGAGTTCCATCCCCAGGACCAGAAAAAGAGAAAACGGGAAAAACATCTTTTCCTGGGTTGAAGCTGGACTCTATCCAAAACAATCATCGACCCAAGGAGTTGGGGGAAAATAGAAAATGTGGCTTCTTCGATTTGGGGTCGGGGTGGCAGTGCCTTGGGACCGAATCCAGGGCCTATGGAAGAAGGTGGGAAACTATCACTGTGTTCTTTTACCCCGACCACACTCGTCTGTAACATTTACTGCCTGCTTACAGAGCCCTAGACACGATGTCAGCTGACATTCCTCATGTAACTCCGCAGCAACCTCGGAGGTCTACCATTTTTGCTCATTTTACAGCTGAGGCCCAGAGTCGGAGTGACGCCTACGAGGGCAAACTGCTGGGCAGTGGGAAGGCCCGGCTGGAAGCTCCCAGTCTAACGCGCCCTGTCTCTAAACGATGCTCTGACAGAGGCCCCAGCCCCGGCTACCCCGACGTCGCCGCAGCGGAGGCGCTCACCCAGCCGCACGTACTCCGGGAGCGGCTCCCTGAACCGCAGCTCGTAGGGCAGGACGGCCAGGCGCCGGCGCGTGGCCTTGTCCCGAATCTCGCTGACCACCTCCCGGACGGTGTAGATGTTATTCCCGATGTCCTGCGGAGAGACGGGCCCAGCTCACAGTCGCTCGCACCAGGCACCACACCGCCCGATCCATGCGTGTCCTCGGGGCTCGGCATCCCAGACCACACTCGTCTAGGCCAGAGCTCCCATACCTGCAGGGCCGCGTCCCGGAGGAAAGCCCCTGCGTCCGCGACAACGTGCTCCACCGGCGCCATGCCGGCTGGAAAGACACGGCGCGCCTGCGCGCGGAGCTCGCGCCAGCTCCTACGTCTCAATCCAGGCCTCTGGGAACCCTAAATAGCAGCCTCTGTTTAACGGCGCCCCCTGGCGGTCGCAGCCGCAGCTCCCAGTTGAGGGTTGGCCGTGCGCGTGCGCACCAGCGCCACCAGCTCCGGCCGGGAAATGCGGGCGCGTCTGAAGCTTGTGTGAGAACTGGAAGTAGCAGGGTTCAGCATCCCGTCCTTAGTGCCTTCTTTACTTTAAAAAGTAAAACCTGTATATACCCTCACGGTTAAAATTCAGTGAATACAGACACCCTAATTTACTAATTATAGCAATCCTATGGGATAGGTACTATTTTACAGGTAAGGGACAACGATTTAAATCCAGGAGGCCCAGCTGACCTGGACAGGGAGTGGTGGTAACCCGGTAACCCTCAAACTGTCTTGTAGCCAGGTTCTGTAAAGTGTGTTCTGCTCAGTTGTGCATTATGCTGTAGCACTACTATTTCTGAGGAATTTCAGCAATGTGCAGCCAGGGTCTGTCTGTCTTATTTTCATTTATTTATGTATTTGTTTATTTATGGTTGAGACAGGGTCTCACTTTGTCGTGCAGGCTGGTCTTGAACTCACTATGTAGCCCAGGCTGGCCTCAAACTCACTACAGTCCTCTTGCCTAAGCCTCCCGCGTGCTGACACACAGGTGTGTGCCGTCACGCTCAGCTATTGTCTTGTTTAATATTTTCACCCCACTTCTGTAAACAATGCACATAATTTGTTAGGATTCATTGCCATGGTGGCATACACCTGAAATTTCAGCTAGGGAGGCTGAGGCAGGAGGAATACAAATTCCCGGCCAGCCTAGACAATTTAGTAACTTATTAGACCCTGTCCCTCTGCCCTCCCAAAAAGCTGCGATGTAGCTCAGTGGTAGAGTGCTTGCCTAGCATGTGCCAGGCCCCGGCACTGGAAAACAAATGAGACATGCTGAGTTTGAGATCTGGACTGTTACATGCCGGCAAAATTTGGGCTGAATGTTAACTTGAGTCTTTGTTTCTCTTGTCCAAGCATTCTTCATCATAAATTAAATTACCATTATTTGGAGATGATGTGATACTCTACATAGTAGACCCCAAAAGCTCCACCAAAAACCTTCTAGATTTAATAACCGAATTCAGTAGTGCAGATGGATACAAAGTCAACACTCAAAAATCAGCAGCCTTCCTGCATAGGAATAACAAACTCACTGTGAGAGAAATTAGGGAAACAACACCTTTCACAATAGCATCCAAAACAATTCAAAAACTAGGAATCAATTGAAGGAAGGAAGTAAAAGACATCTATGTTGAAAATGATAGCACTTTGAAAAAGGAGATCGAAGAGGATATGAGAAAATAGAAAGATATCCCTTGTTCTTGGGTAGGAAGAACCAATATAGTGAAAATGTACATACTTCCAAAATTGTTATACAGATTTAGTGCAGTTCTTATCAAAATTCCAATAGCGTATTTTATTTGAAACCAGAAGAGAACTGGAATAGCAAAGGCAATTCTGGGGAATAAAAGCAAGGCAGGGCATCATAATATCTGACTTCAAATTATACTAAAAAGCTACTGTGATTAAAACAGCATGGTACCAGCTAAAACACACAGAAAGAAACAAAACCAAAAAACAAACCTGAGGATCAATAGAACAGATTAGAAGATACAGAAACAACTCCAGACACACTCAGCCACCATATCTTTGACAAAGGTGCCAAACACCTTCACTGGAAGTAAGACAGCCTCTTTAATAAAATGGTGCTGGAAAAACTGTTTTCCACATCTGAAGACTAAAACTAGAGCCATATCGTTCACTGTGCATTGAACTCAAATCAAAATGGATCAAAGATCTAAATATTAAAAAGAAACACTAAATCTGCTGGAAGATAGAATAGGTAGAACTCTCCAAGACACTGGTGTAGGCAAAGACTTTATGAACAAACCCCAATCACACAGGAGATATCTCATTAAAAAGCTTTTGCACAGCAAAAGAAACCATCGCAGGAGTGAAGAGACAACGCACGGTGTGGGAAAAAATTTTTTGCCAGCTGTTCTTCAGACAAAGGACTACTATTTAGAATATATAAACAACTCAGAAAACCAGACCCCCCCAAATTTAAAGATCCAATCCAAAAGTGGGCATCTAAAATGAACAGACACTTCTCAGATGAAGAAGTAAAGATAGCAAATAAATATATGAGAAAATGTTTAACATCACTGGTCATTCAAGAGATGCAAATTAAAAAACAAGTTAACCCTTTCACTCCAGAAAGAATGGATGCTATCAAGAAATCAACCAAGGGGAGCGAAACCAACACGTGACTCACCAACCTCCGCCACTGCCGAGGTCTCCGGCCAGTGTCGCTTCCAAGAATCCACAAGGATGGGGAATATCTTCGCCAACCTCTTCAAGGGCCCTTTTGGCAAAACAGAAATGTGAATTCTCACAGTGGGCCTGGATGCTGCCGGGAAGATGACAGTTTTGTATAAACCGAAGCTTGGTGAGATTGTGACCACCATTCCTCCCACAGGTTTCAATGTTGAGACCGCTGGATGCAAGAACATCAGCTTTACCATGAGGGATGTGGGTGCCTAGGACAAGATCCGGCTGCTGAGACGCCACTCCTTTCAGAATACCCAAGGCTGGATCTTTGTGGTGCACAGCAATGACAGAGGGCGTGTGAACGAGCCCACTGAGGACAAGCTCCGGGATGCCGTCCTCCTTGCATCTGCCAATAAGTAGGATCTCCCCAGTGTGAAGACCGCAGCTGCCATCACAGACAAGCGGGGGCTGCACCCTCCATGCCACAGGAACTGGTACATTCAGGCCACCCCTGCCGAGGACTGGACTGGCCGTCCCATCAGCTCTGGAACCAGAACTGAAACAGAACCCCCTTCCCGTCACTTCCTCCTCTCCGCCCTCTGCTTTCTTCTCATGTGGCAAATGTACGACTCTCTGGTCCTGAGTGCCAGAAGCTGTCACCATGGGCTGGTCACCGTGTGCACACCCTGAGCTGTACACGTGCAGACGCAGCCTCAGCCAGGCTTTTATTTAATGTCAATAGTTTCTGTTTCCACTGAGGCAGTTTCTGGCACTCATATGCAGTAGTACTCAGCTTTTTTTTTGTTCCACCGGGAACGCAAAAGTCGTGATGAACAAACGCCATCCACTGCATGGTCAAAGGAGAGACCTGTGGCCTGCCTGTCCTTTGGGTCATGCTCGCACAGTCCCCTCAGGGTGGGCTGGGAGGGCTGGGATGGGGCCATGGGGGCCAGCGTCACCCTCACCCAGTGCAGCTGGAGTAGCAGCCCCCGTTCTCAGTGCTCACTCAGACGCGTGGGCCAACGTCTGTCTGGGTCTCACCAGCAGGAGCAGGGGTACCACAGTCCCAGGGCACCTCACCTCCGTGTGTGAGGCAGCTTCCTCCCTCAGCCTGGAAGGGTCTGATCTGCCATCAGAAAAGAATGAAAAGCATCGTATAGCCGGGGATTTAGCACAGTGGTTCCACTGGTGGCCATGCAAGCGCAAGGACCTGAGTTTGATCCCCGTACCAAAAAAAAAAAAAAAAAAAAAA